GGCAAATGATCTGTCTAGCCTGTATTACCATTTGTACATCCAGAAACCACATGAGTCACTGACACCCTGCTGGTTAGTTCACGGTAGCCTACAGTCAGCATTGTTATATTGTCGATCGAAGCTGTTTGTAAAATCAGTATATCAAGAAGGAATATATATAAAGTTGTTGGGAAAGCAACCAATAAGGATGGTGCGTGTGTGGCGTTTAGGACCTGATCGGTGCCACCAGCAGTGGCAGAGTATCCACAAACATGTCATGAGCTCGCTGTGATGCTGCTCTCCAGCCTCATGATGTGTTTGTGGACGGCCTCGATTTCATCAGGCCTGCTGACTAGCTCCATGACTGGGGGGGGGGGGGGAAGTGCAGAGGAGTGAAAACACATTAAAAGGAAAATACTTTTTTATTGCAAGAAGGTTTTATTGCAGCAATAGGGGAGGGGGGATCACGGCCTGAAAATAATATTAATTAATATATTTTGTACGCAACAAAATACATTTGATTCTACATTTCACCATCTGCAAGTACACTCTGTTAATTATGGTACAAGTAGCATGCTACCTGTTGACAGTACCGTAGTTCACACCGAACCACGGTACAGTACATTATACTTTGGTTCCCCATTCTGTATACCATAGTAACCAGTATAGTATGCAATATGGAACATGCAACATGGTGCTGTCAAATATAGCCAGGTTCCATGTTATGGTACTATTAAAAAATACCATGATATATGCACTACTAAGGCAATGTCCATGCTTCTGTAACATGGCACTTTGTAACATACCTACTAATGTAAAATAAAAAATGTTACATGAAATAACGGACTGAGGTATGATCTTGGACAATCTCAATTCATTGTTGATCGACGATACATTAATAGAGTGACTTAACTGTGAGTGTGTTATTTGAACTGTGTGTGTGCATGTTCAACATATTGAAACACACAGACTGTCTCACCCCGGCACTGAACACAGCCGAGTTTCCTCCCTCCAGCATGGCCTCCAGTTCTTCGTCAGTCGTTGCTGTCCCCGCTGTGATTAACAGGAAGACAGTTGAACAAGTGTTTCACACACAAACCTGTTAACAGCTGACAGCAATACACAAGGACGAGGCCTACTGTCAGAATAATAACAGTATACTAGAGTAACTGCCAGTCACCTGACTCCTGTGACAGTAGAGACACCTACCCCGGGATTCCACCGGGTCCGTCTGCGCCACGTTACGGCTGTGCCATGGTTTTATTCCGACCTCCTACAGCGTCAAACCCTACCGGGCGCGTTTCATAAGCGGAGCGTCTTGCATGCCGGCTCGCAGTTTTTGTTGATTTGGGCATATTTCCTGGACAGGCTACTTCGTACAGACAAAGTTAATAATAATTTGTAATTCGCCGCAGTTATTAAACGACATCGAATCAAGATGTCGCCTGGTGGTATTTTATGGAAAAAATGTTCATCATCATAATTTTCTATAATTTTACCACGTGCCTGTACAACCGCAACGGAGATGCGCTGGCATTTGCTCCTCCCCGCTACTTGAAAGATTCGAGAGGGAGTAAGGGTCTGCGCAAAATAGGTTTAGTGGTTGGGGATGGGCCGGGATGCTCTTAACAGTGCCACTGCCTGCCGGCGGTGGTGCAAGCGGCCCGTGGGGCGCGTCAAGAGAATGAGACCAGGCGGCCTTATTTTGAGTGCCTGAGCCCAGGCGCCGAACGGCTTCTGGTACGGCTCTGTGGACGGCTTGCTAGCCGTGTACACGCGGGCGCGTCTGGGTGAATAGCGGACCTTTGACTAGAGTGGCCGCGATCAGCTGGAATGCCGCGGCGCGAGCCGTAATGCAGTGGCCACAGCGTGAAGGATATGTCGCGCGTGGCGGTGTCTGAAACTTCGACCAACGAACCAAGTGTACATGAATCTCCGTCCGCCGGGAAACACAAGCACGCGGTGTTGATTGGCTAGAGCTTGTACGTGCCAGTGGTGATTTGATGGCTGCGCTTCTGTGAGGCGTTCAAGAAGTTGAACAGTTGCTCACCGCGGCCTGCATCGGCGGGTTGACGGCTGGTTAACGGCGGGGTGTGCGCCGCGGCAGGTTCAGAGCGATTCGCGGGCCACTGCTAGTCAATGAGGGTGGGGGCCGGCGTTCACACCGGGAGTACTTTTCCCCGTATGTTGCACGAGTCCAAAAAGAGGTAGCGGTTGAGTACGTTAACTTTTACCGCGCCATTTTGAGTGCGCTGTGGATGTGTGGAGGTAGCGTATCCTGGGGGGGAAGTCCGCGTTCGATGTGCTGGCGAATTTGGGAGAACGCCGGCGCCCGTGAGAACTGCGTGGAGAAAGTTCTGTGTGATAGCCGGCCCAGGGTGTTTGTGGGCATGGTGAGGGCATTATAGCAGCGCAGCGCGAAGAGAGGAGCGTGAGGCAGCGAGGCGAAGAGGAAAGCGATTGGAGCGGGGGAGATGAGGAGCGGGGGTGTCGGGCGTGGTGCTGGCGAGTTACTGCGAGAGAAGCGTGGCTGGGGAGGTCGCAGAGGCTTCTAGCTGAGGCCCTGGGGAGTCTCGCAGCTCCGGACGCTGTCCGGCCGGGGACGGATGTGTCGGGGCCGAGTAGTACGGCCGTGACGTTGTTTGCAGGACCGCTGCGATGAGAAACCACAAGAGAGAAGAAGAAGAGCGGAGTGAGCGGTCGCGGGCGTTCATTTGCGTGGAATCTTCGCCTTCAGGGAAAGAGCACTGCCGTGGTGTGAGGGCGGCGATTGGGTACTGGGTTACCGCTCTGGGTAATAGAGTGGGCGCGGTGGTAACCACGAGTGACTGCGAGACACCGTACGCGGGCCGTCCCCGGGCGTGCGTGCCGACGGCGGGCCCTACAGTGTGTGTATTAGCCACGCGAGATGCTGCTTCGCGGCTCGTGCGTCGGAAGGCTGTCCAGGAAGCGTCTTCGGGGCGCTGGGGGCGTGTGGCGCGCTCGAGAGAATCAGTGGCTTCAATCGTATTTCGACGTGAGGGGCGGTTGCAGAGGCGCTCGCAGGAAGTGGAACCAGTCGAGAGCGATCTGCGGCCGTGGGGGGGGAAGTCCTCGAAAATAAACAGAGGATTTGCGGGCGGGAACCCGTTATTCCCTCCGTGAGTCTTTTTGTATAATTTATTTTTTGTAGTTGGTTGTATAAAGTAGTATCTTTTGAGTGAAGACACACATTAAAAGGGACATTTGTACGAAAGAGGTGTTGCAGGTTAGTGTAAACTAGAGGTTCCTGCCTTCTTAATGGAGATACCTTAATTTCTCCAATTTTAGGAAGAAGACGGATGAGCATCACTGCGCGCACTGTAGGCATTGGAAGGAGCTTTTGGATTTCGCAGTGAAGAAGAAGAAGTCGTCGTTGCCAATAGCAAGGAGTAATGCCAGAATATCCAAATTGCCCGCTGAGTTGTAATCTGTGTGTATTTCTGGGACCCAAATATGCAATATGGGACAGACTTTCACAGCTGGGAGAGTATTTTTGAGATATCCTCAAAAAACTTCTGCAAAAGAAAACACTAATGGGCAGAGAAAACAATGGGAGTGCGGTTGCAGGGAGCAGGCTTGAGGCATTTTCACAGATGTCAATAACGTGGGATATAGGGTTTGTGCAGTCGTGCCTGTTGAAGAATGAACCCTGTACATGCACCTTGAACTGTATGAGAGTGAGACGACACAGGATGAACTTGTATGAATCCTGTTAAGAGCAGTGTCGCCACCAGTGATCAACCAAGCTCACACCTAGCTCCCTCCAGGCAGCTTGAATTAGTGCGGTGTGATGCTGTCATCGGTCTCAGGAGTTTGTTATATATTGGTGAAATAGAGTGACTTTTGAAGGATCTGAACAAAGATACTCATTCCGCATGTTTTTGATTAGGTGGTAGAGGAGGAAATGATGAAACAGGATTTTCGCCGTAACAGTTCTATTGAAACATAACAAAAGGTGAGATGTGGAGTTTCAAATTTCCCGTGACGTATATCAGTAAAACTACGAAGAGGTATGTATTCGCTTATAAAGCTCTCTAAAGTCCCTCAGCCTCTTTCAGTGCCGATACAGAAAGTGGGGTCAGATGGTCAGATACAGAGGTTTCGCCCATAGAAGGAGCTAAAGTGGATGCAAAGTTAAATCTAAAATGCCTGCTGAATGTGGTACCAGATATTAGGAGATAGCAACTCAGCAACAGGATATGTAGTGTCGCAGAGTTGGGTGGAATAGAAGAGGTAAGTAGTGCCAGTAGCGGAGGATGGCGCAGACAAGGACTGGTTCCCTCGAGAGCTACACCCGATGAGGATGCACTGACTTTGACCAAAATAAAATTCTGGTGTGGTATGTGGTGAAGCCCAAGTAATAATAATTGGAAGTTCGGGGAGAGACACGTCCAGGCATTAAGTTTAATTCTTTGAGGATATAGATTTACTTATTCAGGTGCCTTCCATTCCATAAAAAGCCAGAAAGGTAATCCTGAGCAAGAGTCTTAAACAATGTGTGGGTATGTATAGATAGGAGGAGACTTGGAAAATAAATAGGTGCTTAGAAAGAGATGTTCATTTTAACCGTGTTAATTTTACCTATAGGAGCGGACAGAGGTAAGACTCTTCCGATCTATTGTAAGTCGTGACGTTGATTTGTAGAGCGATTAGAAAGGGAATATTGGTCAGGAACGGTAGTGGTACTGGCGTTGTACATGGGCTCGCATAGATACTTAAAGCCAGAGGGGGTCAATGCTGAAGGGGACAGTCGAGGGCGTTGGGTTCAATTGTGATGCCAGAGGCGGTGTAACAGGAGAACATGTCGTTTGGATAATTATTCACTTGTGTATAACCTGAGAATTAACCAAATTCGTTGGAAGAAAGGAGGTTAAAATGCTCGGTAGTGGTTACTGGGGCGTTGAGAGACATGCAGACGAATAAGAGTCATCCGCGTAGCAGGACAGGGATTTAAATTCCATCCCAGCGCGAGTATCCCGAGGGGAAAGTGGAGTTGAGGGTCTCAGATTATAGTTGACCAAAGGCTCTATGGCTAAGGCCAAGAAGCAAAGGGGAGGGGCTGTAGGTGTGCTCTGTACGCGATTGCGTGTGGGGTTCCGTGCTGGATAGGAAGTAATATAAGGTGGTGAGGGAGTTGTGGAAGATACGTAAGCTTGTGGGAGGTGTGAGGTGAAGAGAGGGGCATTAATAAATGTGTGTGTGTGATCACCCAGCCAAGGTGTACTCGAGCACAGTAAGTAAATAGTCGCCAGGCAACCCTATCGAGGATGCTTTTTGCTGCAGTCAAGTGAGATCACGCTACTCAGGTCGTAGCGAGGTGGGTGAGTTGTTTTTGAGGTGATGTTGTGATGAATAGATTGAAGGAGGTGGACTTGAAGTAAGGTGATGGTGGGGGTCTGCTTGGTGGACATCGCCAGTGTCGGCGGTTAGAGAGAGATAGTGGTTGAGAATGGTTGCTAAGGGACGTGCCGAAGAGGCGGGGTGCGGGTTAGCAAGGTTTTTCGCCACGATGGTATTATAGTGTTTTGTTATGGAG